CGCCTTTAAATAAAATGTATTATTGTTATTATTATTTTTCCAGTTAATTTGAGCTGCCGACTGCCTCTGTGTTGTTTTATGTCTGTAGCTCCAGTGCAATCTCTGTGGTGAAGATCCTCAGAGTACTCCGGGTGCTCCGACCTCTGAGAGCCATCAACAGAGCCAAAGGACTTAAGGTAACTCGGTTCTCTTTTTTTAAGGGTTGTATGGTCACCGTAGTTTCCGTTATGCACTGGAAGGGGAGGGTGAAGCGAGGGAGTTGTGATCTGATGGCACTAAATCCTACACACAGAGAGATTCAGAGAGTCTCAGACCAGGAGTCAGGATCAGCAGTTAGTACAGAAAAGAAAGGCTAATGTCTTCAGAGGAAACATGAGAAACACTCCCTCATGTTTAATGTGTGTGTGTTGCAGCATGTGGTCCAGTGTGTGTTCGTGGCCATTAGGACGATCGGAAACATCATGATCGTCACAACTCTGCTACAGTTCATGTTCGCCTGCATCGGAGTTCAACTCTTCAAGGTGAGTCAGAATTTTGATTTTTCTTCACCTTCTTCTCCTGTGACAACCCTCTGACAGCTGACTTCCTATTTCTGACTCACCTGAGTTAATGCGTCACATTTCCTATTTGTTTTTCAGGGTAAATTTTATCGCTGCACAGACGAGGCCAAAAACACTCCTGAACAGTGCAAGTAAGTTTTTAATTCTTCAACTCTGAAACCGACGTCTGTTTTAAACACTGAAATATATGCAATGTAAAGACGTTAGAGAATATCCTGTTAACATGTAAATTGTGGACATTTAAAGCCCAACTTAAAGGCATTTTAAATTGAGTCCGACTATTTCATCATTTTCTGAGAGGAAACCCACTCGACCTACCTTGTATTTAATGTGGTGTCTTCACCTATGTGACCACTACATGACAGTATTGGAGCACAAAAAGGGGTGGGTATGTTGGCGCCAACCAATACCATGGAAGTCTAACGGTTGAAATGCCTTTAGACATCTAAAATCGACGTGTTAACAGGGTATTTTCTGTTCTATAGAGATATGATGTTACTGTCTGTGTGTTCAGAGGGACCTTCGTGGTGTATAAAGATGGAGACGTGAGCCATCCGATGGTCAGAGAAAGAATCTGGCTGAACAGCGAATTTAACTTTGACAACGTGTTGATGGGGATGATGGCGCTCTTCACCGTGTCCACCTTCGAGGGTTGGCCCGCGTGAGTATTATTCAGTTCTAACAACTTTATTAACAGCCCGGTCAGAACAGAACCATTTAAGTCCTCTCTCTCCAGGCTGCTGTATAAAGCCATTGATGCTAACGGGGAGAACTCTGGTCCCATCTATAACTACCGAGTGGAGATCTCCATCTTCTTCATCGTCTACATCATCATCATCGCTTTCTTCATGATGAACATCTTCGTGGGTTTCGTCATCATCACTTTCAGGGAGCAGGGAGAGCAGGAGTACAAGAACTGTGAGCTGGACAAGAACCAGGTAGACTCTTACACCTGCATTGTAATTAACTATAGTCATTCAAGTCCAAAAAAAAATTTCTTTTTAACCCTTCACACCTCCAGTCAGACTGTACCTCTATTTTACAATGTATGCAAAACAGGAACAAAAAAATCTATTTCTTTGTATTTTTATATCAAAATCCAGTAATCTTTTCTTCCTGTAAAACAAAATGTCTCTTGCGCTTACGTAAGTATGAACTAACCAATTTCAACCTGTAATATCAGGACATCTACCCATCAATCAATCTTCACCTTTTAGACAAAAACGTACAAAAACACAACTTCAGATGTCGGTTAGTCACCTAAAGAAGAAAAAGAGGTTGGAAACGTTTCATCCAGAGAAACACATACATTTCTGTCATTATTTGACACTTTGGCCTAGTTTAATATCAACGTCCCACAGTGTAGCATTATATATATGACACTGAGAAAAGCAGAACCTCTTTAACCCTTCCTCTCTGTCTCTCTGTAGCGGCAGTGTGTGGAGTACGCTCTGAAGGCTCAGCCACTGAAACTTTACATCCCAAAGAATCCGGTTCAGTATAAGTTCTGGTCCATCATTAACTCCACAGGATTCGAGTATGTCATGTTCGTCCTCATCCTGCTTAACACCGTAACTCTGGCTGTTCAGGTGAATAAAACCATCTCACCTGATGAACACTAACAGTACTTGCTCTGCTGCCTCATGTTTCTTACAACTGATGTTTTCTCTCCTGCAGCACTATGAACAGTCCAAAACCTTTAGCCATGTCATGGACATCCTCAACATGGTGTTTACTGGACTCTTCACTGTGGAGATGCTGCTTAAGCTGCTCGCTCTCAGACTCAGGGTGAGAAAACCAACACAGCTGCAAAATAACTACAACTCTGGTGATATTCTGTATCTCTTTATGTTCAGTCAAACCAACAGTGAATGTATCTACTAACAACTATTGTTTTTTAAACTTTCTAAACACCAAACTATATATTTGTTGAGGTGTTTTTCTGACAGGAAGTCAGACAGTACTGCGAGATGGACTAACATTTTGTTGTTTGAGTGTAAACATGGAATTTGCTGACAGTAAAATAGAATAACAGCTTTAAGGTTTCTGTGATTATAAAAACTACTGCAGAGTCGTCTGCAAATAAAATATCAGATGTCAGTTTATGAACATTTAGTGGATCATTGATAGGAACAACAGGGGACCAAACATTGACCCCTGATGTACACCAGGTTCAATACATTGTTGGGTTGGACCTGAAGATAAATGTTCGTTCTGACACTGGACAAAAATTACCCCTATGCCGAAAGATCCAATGGTATACGAGTTAATGGAAATATATCCAGATCTGTCACATCATATTATAAAAAAAAAAAATAAAATATCTAAAACATCCCGACTGTAATCTTCGGCATACTGTCCGTATCTTTGACGGATACAAACGTATCATTATCTTGGATAGTCTCGTATTTTTGTGCATTTATTCCAGTGTGTCTCTTTTTTCTTCCAGCATTACTTTATAGACGCCTGGAACTCGTTCGATGCTCTCATCGTGGTCGGCAGCGTTGTCGACATTGTCGTCACCGAGTTCAGTGTGAGTACTCGATTCTGATTGGCTGTCAGCTGCTCTGTACACAACAGACAACAACAAGATTTTCCTGCTGGTAAAAGCAGTCGAGGCTGTAATCTGTGTGCCGCCCTTTGCTGTTATTCAGTATGTCGCAAACACTATTAAAATACATATATATGTTATATATACAAATATATAACAGTGATTTTGACTCACTTGTTTTAGATTATTATGTTGTAAAACTGAGTTATAGTGGAGGAAACTCGGAGCTGTTGGTGCTAAATTGACCCTTCCTCAGTCCCTTCCCTTTTATAACCGCTGTCACTGTTCTCCTTTCCTGACTAATTTACAGAAATTGTTAGCTAGCTAATTAGGTAGCATTTTGCTAACATTAACCATCAGAAATAACTAGCTATAGATATAAAATATTTTGCTAGTATACTAGTGTTTTGCACTGTAGCAACTAGCCAACCAACTAGCTAGCTAACGCTAACGATGTAACCGTCTTCAAAATGTGGTTGTCTTTTCAACATAGATTATCCTAGCATATAACATATCTAAGTACAGGAAAGGAGGAAGTTGACAGAGGCTTTCTCAACTTGGAGGACAAAGCAAAAAGGGGCGGGGCTTAGGAAGTATTGTCAAATGATCTTATGTTGAGTTTGTTGGATGTAATTAAAATTAAAAAGAAGAAAAGGATATACTTTAATAATCCCCAATGGTGAAATTCTTACAGTGAGACTCACTGTGTCTGTCTGTCTGTCTGTCGGTCTGTCGGTCTGTCAGAGTGGGGAAGACAGCTCTCGGGTTTCGATCACCTTCTTCCGTCTGTTTCGAGTGATGCGATTGGTCAAGCTGCTGAGTAAAGGCGAGGGGATTCGTACACTGCTGTGGACATTCATCAAATCACTACAGGTCAGAGGGCGGGGCTAACCGGGGGCGGGGCTTACATGGAAGATAGGCTTACAGGGAGGAGTGCAGCAGTCTAACCTCCTCTCTCTTTCTCTCTCTCTCTCTTCAGGCTCTTCCGTATGTCGCTCTGCTCATCGCCATGATCTTCTTTATCTACGCCGTCATCGGGATGCAGGTGAGTTCATACACAGGTGATCCTGTAGGAGCACCCTGATCTGATCCACAACCAGGATCCAGATTTTAGGCTTTGTGTTTATGGGAACTTCAGCAATCTAGACAGACAACGATGTTTCCTAAAGCAGTGGTTCTTAACCTAGGAGTCACCAAAGGGTTGTGGAGGATAGAGTAAAATAATGTATGGCTGCGTGGAGAGACAGGAAGCAGCTCTCAGCGTCCCTTTAATGACATACCCTCTGTCTGTCTGTCTGTCTGTGTGTCTGTCTGTCTGTCTGTCTGTCTGTCAGACGTTTGGAAAGGTCGCGATGCAGGATCATACTCAGATCAACAGAAACAACAACTTCCAGACGTTTCCTCAGGCTGTTCTCCTCCTCTTCAGGTCAGATCCTCTGTCTCTTCCTCTGGCTGACATCTAATAAAAGACACTGTGCAATAATGCATTATGGGAGTTGTAGGATTTAGTATTTTTGGACTAAAAGTCAAACTTTCTACCTCAGATTTCTGTTTTTAATCTCAACAACTCGATTATAAGTCAAATGTACAAGAACAAACATCCAACAAGTTGTAGCTGCTAACTCACACCTAACGGCAAACAGCTAACAGCTAACAGCTCAGTTAAGCAGGTAGCTCAGGCTTCAGGTTGTGGTCATTTCAGGGGATTCAATACAGTATGGTTTTCTCTCTGTGTTGTGGTTATTTTACCTGTGTGTACAGATGTGCTACAGGTGAGGCGTGGCAGGAGATCATGTTGGCGAGCCTTCCGGGTAAACGCTGCGACCCTGAGTCCGACTATGAACCGGGAGAGGAGTTCAGCTGCGGCAGCAACTTCGCCATCATTTACTTCATCAGCTTCTTCATGCTGTGTGCTTTCCTGGTCCGAACACACACACACTCCTCTCACTGCATGTCAAAGTGTGCTTGAGCAAGATACTGAACCCAAAATTGCTGCTGATGCATCAGGGTGTGAATGTGTATGAATGAGGTGAGTGTGGCTGTAGTGTACAACGCACTGAGTGGTTGAACCTCACACTTGGTCCATCTACCCTTTACACACACACTCATCATCATGCTGTATGGAAGACGACTGAAACTCATCGGGAACCTGTTTACTGAGATAATGAATCAACTTCTCCATAAGGCTCAATACTATCAGAGTGGAGCGGCCCCCTGCTGGCTCTAAGGCTACGTTCACACTGCAGGTGTTAATACTCAATTCCGATTTTTTGCTAAGATCAGATTTTCCGTGGTTGTTCACATTATAATTTAAATGCGACTGCCATCAGACTTAAGTGTGTCTACGATCCCGAAGTCAAGACGTGACATCACACGCAGCACGCTGTGTTTACGGACGTAAATAATGAAGCTACACATCAGTGTCAGCGTGTGTGTATCGAAGTATTTGTGCAATCGGAGCCAACAAAATTATAATGATATTGCCGCGTCCCGCCTCCTCTGGTGCAGTATTGTGACGTCTGTCTCACTTCAGTGACGTAAATGTCGGATGAAATGCGACATGACTGTTAAGATATGACAAACATCAAATATGTATCCGACTTAGAACCACATATGAAAGCAGCTTGGATCGGATTTGAAAAACTGGTCAAGGGAGACAACCACCCACCTAGAGTCGGGGTCTGTCTGAGGTTTCTGCCTTTTAAAAGGAAGTTTTTCCTTGCCGCTGTCTCCAAGGTCTTGCTCATGGTGGAAACCGTTGGGTCTCTGGTTGTCTGGTTTGAAAAGTGTCCTGAGATAACATCTGTTATGAATTGGCGCTATACAAATAAAACTGAAGTGAATTTTAACTGAAATTGTGCTGTTCAGACTGTCATAAAAAAATCTGATATGGGCCAGTTTTACCTGCAGTCTGAATGTAGCTTTAGAGAGAAAGCAGGTTTAACACACTTCACAGACCCAGAAGCTCCGTTATATATAAACTGTTAACAACTATGTCACTGATTTTGGTAAAACTGGATCATATTTTATGGAGGAAGTGTTTTCCTTCTGATGCTCTGCAGTTATAATTAAAGTAAGAAACTGAAATGTGAAACTCCTGAAAGCTTTTGTGGATCAGTGTCAGTTTCATGCATTCAAACTCAGTATAATATATAATGCTCCCAGCAATGGAGGCAAACCCAAATACATAGACACGCCAGTGTCTCTCGTGTGTCATATTTACTTCAAGTAAACTGAAACTCACCTGCAGTCTCTAGCAGTCTGTCGCTCGTCCTTCTCCGTTTGGTCAGCTGTTCTACCTCCAGAAGATTCCTGTGGATTCATGAAAACTAACTGGGTAAGAAACTGATTAACTCCTGTTCACACTTTCCTGGTAATGTTTGGTATCACTTGATACTAATGTGGTCCAATGCACCAGTTAAAGTAGTATATAACTGCTGCCTGACTCATCATGTAAAGCATGAATCAATGATGCGTGTATTAATGTGTCTGAGTACGTTTTCTGCATGATGCAACATGCAGCCAAGACAATTTCCAGCGGTAACTACAGAGACTAATGAAATCACATTTATTCTAAACAATAACTAAAAATAACAAAAACAAATGCAGATGCAGAAACATGTTTGTGTCTGATATGAACACAAATCTTAATAAAAGAAGTAAACTCAAAACTCAAAAATGAACTGTTAAAGTAAAAGTTTTGGTGATTTAATTCAAGTTTGTTCCATTAAGTTGAGTTTATGACTATAAATATATAAGCCTCAAAGCCTCAAAATGAATGGGCTAGCATGTTGATTAATTGATTAATTGTACACTGTAAGTACTACTTAAAGTAAAATTAAGGCAGCAGATTACAAACAATGTTATTAATCAAAAATAAATAATATATTAATTACATATAACTATGTTCAGAGTAAATATGAATTAAATCAGACACTTTGTAGTTACACATTTAATGTGAGTGGATTCAAAGAGAAAACACACAATAATTCAAACTTAAACAAAAATATTGAGTTGATGTGAAAAACTTGGTGGTAATTATAGGTTGGATTCACTCAATATTCTCTCTATTTATAATTAAATAACCTGAATGCTTATGTTTTATTTAACTATAATAAGTTAATTTTATTCTAAACATTTTTAATTGATTTTTATAATTGCCACTAAACCAATGACACAATTATATTGAATAGATTTGAATTCATTATTTAAAATCTGAATGACCACAGAATCATTTATTACAGTTATTAGAGTAAATAGTTTTTTTTGGTCTAATTTCAGCTGTTTTTTTTCAGGTAATTTGAATAATTTACTTTAATGGAAAAAACAGCTGTAACATCGCTTATTGACGCTGTTTAGAAGTTCTTCTGCAAGGTATTGTATTTTTAATTTTAACTTTATTTTAGATAGAAAGACTGAAAAAAAACATGAAATTCAAATATATTGTAAAATGTAAGGTGACACTGCATGCTTACAAAGGACAGTTTGACGACAGCGGTACCGAGGTGATTTAAAGAGTTTCATGATGGACTAACTGCCGATGGTTTTACAGGAAATAAGCAAATATGCGAAACAAGTAGCTCTCTGACTCTCGCTTCATGTGGACTAGAGTTCCGACTTCTTGCAGCAGGCAAGCGTAAGAGACAGAGAGACAGTCCGTTTAATGACACAAACAAGCTGACAGGCAGACAGGTAGGTCGACAGGCAGGTTCAGGTGATGATCTGACAGCTGAGGTTCATACAGGTAAGGCAGGTTTCTTTAAAGGAATGAATGACACTAATGTTTGATGTTTATCTAATCTTTAAAAAAATCAACGTCCTCCTGTGTCACTGCGATGGCTAACCTGTTATTCTTTATTTGTATTATCCAGAGTGAAGACGTCCAGCAGGACAAAACAATGATCCAAAAGAGACTCATTCAGTTTTTATTCTTGGTTGTTCTCATATTACTGATCTTCCTTGATGTTGATGTGAGGCACCTTGCGTTCACCTGGATTCCCAAGATAATCAGCAACGCTACAGGTGTTTCCCAGGTTTCTGAGATCGAGAACGTCTCAACGTCTGAGCCACCAACGCCAGTTCCTTATGTGTCTCCGGGGCCGTACTTGGTGGAATACCCCTACGAGTACCGCTTCATTATAAATGAGCCAAAAAAATGTGAGGAGCAGAAGCCGTTCCTGGTTCTGATGGTCCCCGTGGCGCCCCACAACAGGGCGCATCGTCACATCATCCGCAGCACCTGGGGAGGCGAGAGCTCTGTACAGGGCAAAGTGGTGAAGCTGTTCTTCCTGCTGGGGCTGCAGGCCGGAGAGGGAGCAGAGCGGCTAC